ACTTTTAATATTTACTTTAGTAGTAGCTGATTTAACATCACTTGGTTCAACAAATGAATTGCTACTACGAATATAGGAACAAACATATTCCCCTGAATATGATAATTTGAAATTAGTGCAGGGAATGTTTAAAGATAGTTTGTGACTACCAGTGGCACCAATATCAACTACACCTGACTTAATGATGCTGTTGTTGTAAATAATGTCAATAGTACCCTTAGTAGCAATAGGAGGTGATAATTGATAAGCAGTAATCATACAAGCTACATTAAAACTGTCCCCAGCTGTATATTCATTCATCAGAGACATATTGATAACATCTCTAGAATTATTGACTATAAGAAACTTTGTAAAAAACAGGTTAGTGATGATGCTTACTTTTCATTATAACTTGTATATTATTTGATGCTATTTTTCTTACTGATTGTTCTCCTATCCATGCTACACAAGTGTAATTACTAAGTGTTGATACTGGAGTTGATGATGTTATTGGACTGAACCTCAGTGTACTAATAAATGATGTATTAGTAACAGACACAATGGGTAGTATAGATACTCCTTCACTGTCTGATACTAGTCTGTTCTCATTACCATTGTCTCTATACCAGGATACATTAACTATACTGTTAATATCAGTGTTAGTAGCGTTAATATCAGTGTTAGTAGCAATATGGCACTCCAACTGTTGAGAAGTATTTGATAACATTAATGAGACAGTATTAGTTGCCAATGTCTTTACAAATGTATCTATATAAGAGGTGATATATAAACATAATTTACTGGCATCATACCTTTCACTGTAACAGATACATTCCCTTGTTGAAAAGGACAGTTAATTGGATTTTCAATAATTAGTAAACTACAAATATACACTGTATTGTTGATTGACTGATCCACTGTTAATATGAGAGGATTTGTAAATGCTTTACCAGATGTATGTTCTTGCCATGATACAATTACTTCTGATTGTCTATAATTATGACCTAATGTACAATCATACTCTCTAACATCTCCTAGTCTTAGATTAGTGTCAAATAAACTATTCATGACAGGAACTAAATGAAAACATTTATTAAATTTTGATTACTGAAAAGGGCTTACCTTGAATGCAAAGATTTTCTGCACTACTTATAACAGTATCAATACCATCAATACTAGCTCTACACTGATATACTCCAGCATCAGAGAGTTGAACACTAGTAATATTCAGTGTTGTTACTAGACTCTTACTGTCACCATTGATCATCAGTTGTGTACTCCTATTACTAATATCAGTGCTATAATGATACCAGTAATGACTAATGAATGATGTATCAGGACCTATCCCAGTATTAAGACTGATAGTACAGGCCAGTACTACTGTAGAGTTAAT